GAGAGGTTCTATGGTGTGTCAATAGAATCTTCAAATATCAAACAAATAAGTTGAGTCACGAGGACTCTATAAGCCTAAAGAGAGGTTTTATGGTGTACTTTGTTACAGGAAAGAATTGTTAAAAATAGTTAGAAGAGGAGTTTCATTCGCTCATTCAAAAGTTGATCGTGAGTTTATAAATAAAGAATATATCTTCATTAGATAATATCATATACTATTATGGAGATTCGTGATTTACTATCACTAATTCAACCTTTGTTTTACCATCGAAGTTTTTAAATTTAGTAATAGTATAACGAATTTCATGAATTGATAGGAAAAAGTGGAGGAGACAATAATTGGGACAAAGAATGTTATAATGGCAGCAGCGGAGGCTAAGGTCCGGCGAATAGTGTTCACATCATCCATTGGAACTGTATACATGAACCCTAATAGAAGCCCCGACATGATAGTTGATGAGTCTTGTTGGAGTGACCTTGACTTTTGTAAAAATACAAAGGTTACCCTTTCATATTAGTTTTTTTCTTTACTTTTTATTTATTTATTAATTTATTAATTTTAAAAATTAAGCTTATTTAAAAGGTGATGTTTGCACATCATCTTTGGAATTAATAATAACAAACCCAAGAGTTTTGTGGAAACATTGGACAGAACTGGTATTGTTATGCAAAGACAGTTGCAGAGCAAACAGCATGGGCAATGGCGGCGGAGAAAGGGGTGGATCTAGTAGTGTTGAATCCCGCGTTGGTACTTGGACCATTATTACAAGCAACAATAAATGCAAGTGTAGCTCATATAATGAAGTACTTGACTGGTGCTGTCAAGACATATGTGAATGCCTTTCAAGGTATTGTTCCTGTTTAATTTACATGTTTTCTTGTAATATCTTCTTGTTTTTCTCACACATGTTTCATATTTAGGTTATGTTCATGTTAAGGATGTTGCCAAAGCTCATGTCTTGTTGTATGAGACTCCTGCTTTTGGTCGATACATTTGTGTTGAAACTATGCTTCATCGACAAGAGTTGGTTGAAATTTTGGCTAAGTTCTTCCCCGAGTATCCTATTCCTACCAAGTAAGTTTAGATCTCTCTTTCTCGTTCTCCTTTTCATTGGATTAAAATATCAAAAGAATAAAAAAAACGTCCATAAATTTTGTCATTTCTTTCAAGAATACTCGTATTCTTACCAAAGTTACAATACGAAAGGATAATAAAATAACTTGAAATTAAAATATTTGGAAGAAATTTGAAGTTTCAGGTTGTAGTTGACCAATAAAAATTAGGTTAGGCAAAAGGGTGAAGAATTCTTTTGGGTGTTTGGTAAAGAAATAATTAATGAAAATCGGAAGCATGACTTGTTGGTGCAACTCAACTACCACCCAAAAATTGAGCACTAAATTTCAAATGACTTGTTGGTGCAACTCAACTAACACCCAAAAATTGAGCACTAAATTTCAATTTTTAGGTTTGATGAATAATAGAAATTGTGTTTGATATGATATGGTATGGTAGGTGCTCGGACCAGGTGAACCCTAGAAAGAAGCCTTACAAATATAGCGTCAAAAAGCTGGAGGAGTTGGGCGTGGAGTTCATACCTGTGAAGCAATGCATCTACGAAACTGTGAAGAGCCTTCAAGAGAAGGGTCATCTTCCACTACCAACCCATTCTTAACATTACAATTACGAATCCACCGTAACTTTAATATAAACCCAAATTTAACAGATAATTTATCCAAGAGGAACCCCATTTCTTATGTTATGTATGTGGACGCATTAATACTATGCTAATGTATTTAATTAGTAGGTACATCTTGGGTTTCCCATCTGATATGTAATATAAATCAAGATATCCCAATCATACCATATGAACTTAAAAGAAAGTTAGGAAGAATGTTATGTAAGTTACCCTGAAAAAAAATCAAGTTATATTAGATGAAGTCAAGTTTCATTAAAGTTAAAGATAAGTCTGCAATTAATACCAGATTAAGAAGAATCAAGATTCTTTTATGAAACAATGCTTCTAGATACATCAAGTGAGGCTTCATTTATTCTTAAATGATTACCGCTTTTTTTTATAAATGATAATCTAAATTTATGGTGTTTTATTAACGTATTTTAAGTGTTAAGACTTCTTATTTACTTATTAGTGACATTTACATAGTGGCTAATTATGATTATAAAATATAAAGATTGCCATTCTTGAAATGTCCTCTCGAAAGTCAAAGTGTTAAGACTTCTCATTTACTTATTAGTGACTTTCGAAAATTCCATGGTATTTTTGAAAACCCACACTAACATGAAAGATTAAAATTTTTGGAAGAGTAGCAATATCCACCTAAAATTAACCAATCTCGTGATGGTACATAAGCCACAAACTCTAAAAGAGAGACTACCTAACGTTGCAAAGATGTTAACATGAGCCCACAATTCAATTATAAAACAAGCTTCACTAGAATTTTATCAAATCAACTTATGCCAATCAGTTCAATTATAAAATAAGCTTCACTAGAATTTTATCAAATCAACTTAATCCAATCTTTGTACAAAAAAAAACCAAAATGTTTGCGCCTATACATTCTAGCATATTGTTTGTCTATGCAGTCTAGCATAATGATACAAAGAATAAACAATTAAAATTAAAAAAAATGACAGTGTGTACAAAAAATCAAATTGTTCTACTCTTCCCCTTATACTTACTCAGGGAAAACTTCTGCAATGTCCCATACTTGAACTTTTTCCACATAGACTCTTAAAAAAGAGAACGATGAAGCACTGAGGTTGGACACCTTACAAATACAAAATGAACGAGAACCTTGTACACCATACAAACGGGTTGGAAAAAAAATAACAAAAAAATAACATTAAAAAAAAGACCCAAGAAAAGTTCCTAGAGGCTTATGATCCCTGGAAAATGATTATCAGGTGTTTATCTAAGCAGATGTAAGTGAAGAACTATTTTTTAGTAGAAGTACCCAAGGACAATTAATCTTGCTAGGCTCTACTAGAAATATGTTGTCACTACTTCTCGAAAAGAATCCTAAATTCAAAATAGAAAGGAAATAAGGAGAAGATGACGAATTAAGGTGGAAATCATTATAATATTATACACAAATGAAAAGCTAAAAAGGAATCTGCCCTACCCATGGTATGCTAACAAGTTCTCCGAACCATTCCTAAAAGAAAAGAATCACCACGAACATCAACGTTAAATCATAGACATATCAAAATACAAAAAATAAGCATTATTACACTACACGAAAACTATCAATCCATTCACATCAAAGAACAGAAAGAAAAAGACTCGACATGAAAATCATCACTACATTGAATAAAAGAGATGAAAAAGTTAAAACCCAACCGAAGAATTAATAAATTCGGATTGAACAGAGGCAACAACTGAACGGAAATGAGAAATCATGCAAAGAGAAAGAGCGAAAATCCAGCAGTATAACGAGAAACATTGAGGGAATAATACAAACTGAAGGGGATTCCAACCGAGAAGTGGCAAAAATTTCCGTGGATGAGACGGTGGTTAACGTGGAAGTAAGTCGAGCAGCCCCTAGACATCAGAATAGTTAAAAACAGATTTGAAGTGGAGAAATAAAGAAGGGAAAATGTAAGGTGAGGAGGGTTATTTTATAAAATGGTACGGTGGAAAGCTAATTATATAATAAGAATTTCATAATCTTCTATAAATTAAAACGATATTATCTCCCATCATGCTTGAAAATAACTTTATTATTTATAAAGTGGAAACGATATCATATGCAAGAAGACATAAACAAAGCAATTGTTAGTTGTATAATATCTCACACAACTACGTCTTTGAGTAAAATAATAACATAAATGAATTTATTTTTCAAAAGCTCTCCAAATATAACACAATTGATCCCCAAGTGGTTTATCAATCAGCTAAAAGTTATGAAAAAAAATCTCTATCAAATCTTAACATGATCTTATGAGGCAGATTAAATCAAACTAAAATAGTAATGTAATGAAAGTATTGAGATCAATTTATATTAAAGAAGAAGGAAAAGAAAAATGACATAATAATAGTATAAAATGTGAGGGGAAAAGAAATAAATAAGACTTTCTATGTAACTATTAACCTAAATTCGAGGACTTATATGTTCAAAAACAAGTTTAAAACAACTTAAAGAATTAATAAATAAGACAATTAAAACTAAAAAAAAAAGTAAAATACTAGTACACTATATACATGTGGGTGTTTTACCTTTACCTGAAATAGGAGTAACACGAGTATTTTAAAATACTCAGTAACTGACTCCACTATTGGGGTCAGAGAAGGTAAATACATGCAACTCATGATCTAGGGACCTATCGTTAAAATCATCATAAGAGTGGCCTCTAGTCCAAACAAATTTGGATATATAGTACTTTCCCACACACAACCTACATTTGCGAGCGTGGATCTCCAAGGAGGTTAACACCCCTAAACCCATCATAGTCGAGCTAATTGTCCGTAGCGACGCCAGAGATCAGCAGACCCCTAAGTGTCATGAATGTACGCATCCATGCTCATCATCATAAATAGGAAAGTAATCCAATGTATATACACACAAAATGCATGAGGTTTCTATGGTTTTTCCTCTTTAAAACATCTTACAATTCTAAGCGTCGCGCAGGAGAGGGTTTCGCTCACCTTTTTCCTGTAACTTTCTATATCACAAGTACTCTAGGGGTAGACGAGCAGAACGTGAAGGTGTGAAGGTGTGTAGGGCAGGCGTGGATGGCTAATGTGAAGAGTGACAAGAGCATGGAGCTTGCTTTGTTGAGATCGCGAGAATCGTGTTATGATTTTTTTGTAATTTATTTCTAGCCGTTACAAAAGAAAGAAATGGAAAAAATGAAAGAAGAGGGGGAGTAGAGTGCTATACACGAGCATCTCCCTCGTTTAACGCCACTTAATTATTATCCGTAACAACAAAAGGACACTTGTTTTCACAGTTTCCAAAATTTTGGCCCATATTTGGGAATACTTTAAAAACAAGAAACAGTTTTATGACGGTTTATAGAAACACGAGCAACCACAAACTTCATCGTTCCATACTCAAAATATATTCTCAACAACGCTAAAAAACACATCTTTTTTTATTATAAGCCATGAAAACATCATTGTTGAAGTTTGGAGGGAAGTGGAAGATGCCCCTTTTGTTGCAAGCTCCTCACAGTTTCATATATGCATTGTTTGATTGGTATGAACTCCACTCCCAATGACTTCAGCTTCTCAACACTGTATTTATAAGGCTTCTTCCTGGGATTCACCTCATCAGAGCACCTATAATCATTTCATTAAACAAAACGCATTATTCTCAATAATCAAAAAAACATCCAATTAACAAATAATACATTGAATTGAAATTAAATTTACTTGGTTGGGAGGGGATACTCTGGAAAATACTCTGCAAGAATATCAACCAATTCTCCACGGTGAAGCATACTCTCAACACATATATATCTGCCGGAAGCTGAAGGAGCTTCATAAACCAAGACATGGGCTTTCGCCACATCCCTAACATCAACATATCCTTGAACTGCGTTTACATATGTCTTGGCTGACCCTGTCAAATACTTCATTATATGAACCACACTCGTATTCACAGCCTCTTGCAATAGAGGCCCCAATACCAACATTGGGTTCACCACTACTAAATCCACTCCTTTTTCTTCTGCCACTGCCCATGCTGCCTGCTCTGCTACTGTCTTGGCATAGCAATACCAATTCTGTACATAATTTCCACACTTTAATTCATGTATTTTTCTTAGTTAATTAAAGGGTTTTATGTTACCTTGGTGTTCTTGCAAAAGTCAAGGTCACTCCAACAAGACTCATCCACCACCGTGTCGGGGCTTCGGTTAGGATTCATGTAGACGGCGCCGATGGATGATGTGAACACCACTCGTCGAACTTTTGCTTTTGCGGCGGCGGTCATGACATTCTTACTCCCAATTATGGCTTCTTCCATCTTTTCCTGTAAATTGATGTGAGTTATCATTATTGTTCTGGTTCCTAAGAAAGAAAAAAACTAATTTTTGAAGTGAAGTTCTTACGGGATCATCGGTCATTGGAGAGGCAGTGTGGAAAACACCATCACAGCCCATAATAGCTGCTTTGAGGCTTTCAAAATCGAGAAGATCAGCTCTAAACAGAGACAGACGCTCATTAGCTCCATCCAAGTGCTTCAAATGAGCATTCTTTTGATCATTTGGGTTTCGAACAGTTCCTCGAACGGTGTAGCCCTTTTCCAAAAGAAGCTTTACAAGCCAAGAAGCAATGAAGCCTCCAGCGCCGGTGACACACACAATTTGGCCGGAAACTGCAGAGGTATCAATCGACATGATGGTGGATTATGGCAAAGGATTGGTTTTGTTTTGGGTTTGAAATGAAACAGAGTTTGAGTTATATAAATTAAAGATATAAGAAGAGGGAAGTTGAAGGTGACTGAAGTGGAATGAGGTGAGTGGGCTTTTGGGGATTATTTTATGGGAAAGACAGAGCAACCTGCCATTGCCACTAACCACTACCATAAAAAGAGTTGCTTATTTCAAGGTTAATTAAGAAACTTAATTATTTCTGGTTCTTATTGAATATTTAGGTCAGTGGGTCCACTCGGATTAATTTGCTTCAACACCATTGATGCATGTCCACCATCTAGCTCGCCTTTCCACAAAACACGAAAGTGAAGTCTTTTTATGTAACGAATTTAATTTTCTACTAGCTTAAGGTGGAGAAACCTTCCTTTAAAGAAATTTCATAAAAGGCGGTCATGAACTATAGGACCTACCTATCATTTAAAATCATAGTCTCTTAAGTGGTCTCGGACAAATTGGATGTATAGTACTTTTTTATACACGAACCATACGTGCGAGCGTGGGCTTATTAGGCGAGCTCACAGATCCCCTAAGCTTGTTCGTTGGGCTAGCTCCTCTGGGTTGTAGCTAGACGCCCGGAGGTACAACGACCATCGTGCATCATGCTGAGTATGATGTTAATCTCATCATCATAGTGTGCGTGTCTGTACTCATTATAAAGGAGAAATATCTTTATGTATGTGAACATACAATTATACCTAAGGTCTCTATACTTTTTCATCTTAAATAACAATCACATTTATTCCTTGCATATTACCGAGGTAATATGCATGCATGTATAACCTTTCATAAATCATATAATTCATAACATCATTTAGGGGTTATGTATCATAAAACTCCCTATTTTCATCCATATTGTAACATGTCATGCATTTGATTACCAATGATATTCATGTCATGGTACAACATGACATCTCATAACATGACATGTCATCCTAACATAACATATAATCCTAATATATCATATCGTCATAACATATCATATCATTATAACATATCACATCATAAAACATATCACATCATCGTAACATATTATATCATTATAACATATCACGTCATCGTAACGTATCATATCATCATAACATATCATATCATCAAATACATGACAAGTGTAAGAGTCACTAGACACGTGTCATCATACATAAGATAACTCTTTTGACCATGCCGATAGTAGGGCCACTTAATTGATTAGCTTAAGTTGGTGTCACTCATTTATCCTTAAAGTTTAATTCCATCATTTGAAATCCAAGTCAGCCTTTGTGGACCCATGACATCAGTTTCAAGTTCGAACTTCTACAAAACTATTTCTCTAATTTACGGTGGTTCATGTGTTAGACTCCATGCGAACATTAGAGCTTTACATAGTAGTCTTGGAATGTTTATATATTTGTACACATACATTTATATATGTATATTATATTTATTAAAGATCTCAAATGTCTACCGACATGCCATTTATTAAATACTATGATTTCATAATATATTTCAGAATTATTTATACAAATAAAATTATATGTTTATTATAATATTATTTTCATACAAACTATTTAAAATCGTTCAAACAATCGTTAAAACAATTTCTATTTCTTTTTCTTTCTCTTTGTATTTCTTTGTTTATTTTTAATACGGTTCACAAGTAATATTTTCTGAAACAAGTAGATTGCAGGTTTGTTTTGGAACCTATGATTCAAATCTTTAAGGCAGTTGAGGCTAAGTTTCTTCTCCAATGTGCTTCCTTTCTTCAAGTTTCAACTCTCTCTTTTGGCCACATTTTGATCACTTCTCTATTATTTTTAATAATAGATTCATGACGAGTTCCCCATCTCTAAGCCCTGTCTCTACTCAAAACAATTCACCTAACTTGTCAATAAATCTTAAGTGCATCGTCAGTTGTATTGTTATTCGGCCTATTTTTGTTGTATTTAACATATCAATAGATATCACAAAATGTTCTTACAATCTAAGAGTATCAACCAAAATGAAAATTAATATAAACTTAATAAGGATAGTTACGTTAAGCTATTTTTCCTTTCAAGAGACTTTGAATATGAGCTTGTTAAATAATTAATATGTTAATTAATTACCCTTAATTGAATTTGTCTTCAATCATTTGTACTCATTTCAAAGTTATTTTTTAAGCAAATTAATTCGAGTGGTCTCGCTTATAAATAATTAAGTTTTTTAATTAACACAGAAATGAGAAACTTTTTAAAGGTGGTGGTGAGTGGTAGTGGCAATGGCAATTGGCTTTATCTTACGTATAAAAACAGACCCAAAGGCCACTCATTTCATTGCACTTCAATCTTCTTCACCTCTCCTCTTCTAATCTCTTTATATGTGTAGCCCAAGATCTCTTTTCATTATTTCAGTAACACCAGTCTTGTGATGGGTTTAATTTTTCGATTATTTTTAAAGTCAAAATTCTAAAATTTGTAGAGTCCTTTAGCAGCCGAATTTTAAGATGAAGTAGAAGAGACAACGCTTAGAAAAATTTCAAGAACGGAAGAAAAAATATTTTAAAAAATAGTAAACAATTGGAGATAATGATCAAAGTCAACTCCCAGAGTAAATTGGTCTCCCAAAATTTGAGACTTGAATTCAAAAGCAAGACTAATGGACTATGAAATGAAAGCATATAAAAAGAGATAAACAAGAAAAAAAATATGGATTTTTTTTTTTTTTTTTTATCAATTGAGAAGAATTCCAATAAGAATTTCATAGAAGATGCTTATGGGTTACAAAATGTATGACATATCTATGCATGAATATGTACAGACTCCTAGATACCCGGGTGATAAGATAAGGAATCACTACAAGGGGAGTAAGATTCGGATTACCTTATTGATCGAATATCTCAAGGCAAGAACATTGTTTGAGATTCGAATCACTCCACAAGCAAGATTGATCATGTCGAGCTTGAATGATTCTACATGCAACCTAAACTACATAGAATTGCAAAGAAACTTAGTCATTGGCTAAAGAAGAGCACAAATGCTTCTTTTACTATATTTTCCAAGTCTGCTTACAAATACAACATAAATAGCTTTATATAGCTTCAAAAATGAAACTACTAAAGGCATTCCAGTTACATTCATACTTAATGGCCATAATTAACCATTATGTCATTGTAACCTAAAGTAAATAAAAACTCTTAAAATACATTAATGAAATACAATAACTCTAAATTGTAATCCACCCAAAATTTATCATATGAAACTTCTTTCTTCTTCAATGTGGCATGAATTGAAATATCTTTTGATAATTTCAACAATATTTTCTTCACATCTTCATTGAAGCATATTATATGATTGATGTCCCTTGATTCATATCACCGGGACACTCCTTTGTGGCTTTAAGACTCACGCACGCGCTCCCGCCTCGATCAATGACATCACTCACCTGAAAAAGTAGAGTAAAAAGGGATGAGTATAAGAATACTCATTAAGCAACCTACTTGTAGACTCTTTTCGCATCCTTATCTTAGTAGGTATCTACGACCTTGTCTCGGGGTTCTAGGGAGTGCGGACTAAGTTGCAACTCTCTTTTCTACAACTCAGGTGGCTTGCCCATCTTATGTGGTTGATGAACATCATCCGTGGTGGTTATCTGACAGCCTTCCCACGGGATCATACTACCACTAAAATCAGGGGGTTGTGATCCCCTGTGAGTCGGTCAGCTACTAGGTCGTTCTACGTACTCCCACACACCCTTGCTCAGGGACGGGTTTCTACGGCTCAGGGGTCCTACCCCTTAGTTATCAGCACTAGGTTGGGGCACAAATCACATTATCATATCCGGCTCTACTTGGCTCAACGATCTCGGTATCGGAGTATTGTCTCAAAGGTACGGTATCAGAGTAGAGAGGGAAGTGGAGATTCTAGTGGCATTATCCACACTGCTCAAGTCCGGTGGGCTACCTCGGTTGTCTACAGTTACTATGGTAGGTCTTTCTAGAGCAAATCTTGGTGATTTAGACTTTGATTTATTCATTTCTAGGGTTCTTGTGCAAGGTCTCTCAAGCTTACCGTGGTTTGGAACACTGGGGTCTAGGTTCGCTGGTCATCCTTTCACAAGCCTAAATGCACGGTATTCTAGAGATATCCCATTCTAGGTTTTTGTTTAGCCTACTCAGTCTCAAACACCCTAGTTTAGGCTTGTCTTTTCTTCCTATTGTCAACAAGAAAAACAACACAAGCAATCATGCACTCGAGTTAACATGCAGTAGTTCATGCAATGTTAACAAATATGCTCGACGGCAAGATAATGTCTATCTTCACTCAGAGCACAAATTTCACAAATTTGCCTTCTTCCTTTATCATGCATATAATATCACAATCATTCTAAAGTGAATTCATATACAATCGATTCTAGGTACCATTGGTTTTCTTATTTATTTCTTTTCCATGGTCTATGTACTAATATGCTAGGTCCGACTAGCTAAGATTTATCAGTTTGATAGAATGTATGTTTATTCCATGCGGTTCCTACAAGTACTACTTGTGGGAATCCAAATGATTACTTACTTGTCTGATGTGTGCCTTCCCAATTCTTTGTTGATTAGTCATAGAGGAGTCCAAAAATTATCGAATTCCTCTGCAGACACCTAATTCACAGTAAAACAACATTAGCATTGAAATTGGGGTGAAAAAATGACAATCAAGTAAAAAACGAGTAAAAATAAGGAGCTTCATGCGTCGTGCCCCCATGCGCGGTCAACGTGGGCAATGGCGCGCTTCGAATCCCAGTGAACGCAGACTTACCCTTCAAATTTTGTGGGCATGACATGTGGCACACAAGGAGTGTCGAGACCATCGGGTTGGACCACAGGTTAGTCACGGATCGATTTGGCAGGTTGTGTTGCGGCCTTGTTGTGTGCTCGACACTTCGTTCCACTAGACGACTGACACGTATTCGTTGATGAGCCAAGACATTTCCTCCAGTAGTATGTCGACCTGCGTCCTTCCATCGGCAACCTTGCTCAAAATGAACCTAGATTCCGACAATGTTCGTTAGCAATCTATTTTCTTCTTAAAAAAAAAAAAAAATTATCTTCTAATCCTTAATCCAAATCAATAAAGTTTCTTCACGA